CTGTTTCTGTCTTCTCCAACCCTGGCGGATTCGGCTGCAGCATCCCTCCCACACGCGTCTCCTAGCAACCAGGCTGGCCGCCAGCATCTGCCGCTGGTCCTCACTGCGGCTCACGAGGCGGGGGCCGCTCCCGGACCCCGCGGGGTGGCTGCTTCTGCCTGGGGTCTCCCCGTCCCCTGCCGGCCTGCTCTGAAGTCCTCTGTCCGGTGGGATGAGGACTGGGCTGGCGGGGTCACAAGCAACAACTCTCGTGGGCTCCAGACGGCCCGTCCATCTGCGCTGAGTCTTCTGCTTGGAGCTCGCTGTTGTCACCTCGACTTGGTTTCCTGGAGTTGCTAGGAGAGCCGGCTTGACTGTCAACAGGGCCGGGTTTCTTTCTGTTGCTCTTTTTCTTTTTAGAGGCAGGGTCTCATTCTGTCCCCAGGCTGCAGTGCAGGTGGACGATCATAGCCCACCACAGCCTCCCCCTCCTGGGCTCAGGTGATCCTCCTTCCTCAGCCTCCCGAGTCACTGGGACTATAGTTGCCACCGTGCTTGGCTAAGTTTTTAATTTTTTTTTTTTTTTTTTGAGTTAGAGTCTCACTTGGTCGCCCAGATTGGAGTGCAGTGGCCGCTCCCAGCCACCGCAGCTTCGCCTGCTGGGCTCCGGCGATCCTTCCGCCTCAGCCTTCCGAGTAGCCGGAATTACAGGCATGCGCTACCACGCCCGGCTGATTTTTTGATTTATTGCAGAGATGAGGTCTCGCTGCCCAGATGGGTCTCGAACCCGCAGGCTCAGGCCATCCACTCACCTCAGCCTCCCAAAGGCGCGGGATTACAGGCTGAGCCACCAAGCCCGGCAAGTTTTTAATTTTTTTATAGAGATGGGGTCTTGCTATGTTGCCCAGGCTGGTCTTGAATCCCTGGGCTCAAGCGATTCTGCTGCCACGGCCTCCCAAAGTGCTGGGATGATAGGTAAACGCCACTGTCCCAGGCTGGTGTCCTCTTAACTGCCAAGAGATTTGTGGGCCAGGCATGGTGGCTCACGCCTATAATCCTAGCACTTTGGGAGACCGAGTTGAGAGGATTGCCTGAGCCTGCTGGTTCAAGACCAGCCTGGGAGACAGACAGCCTGGGTTCAAGACAACTTGGCGAGTCCTTGTCTCTACAATAAATCAAAAAAAATAATTAGCCGGGCTTGGTGGTGCATGCCTGTAGTTCCAGCTACTTGGAAGGCTGAGGCGGATGGACCGCCAGAGCCCAGCAGGTCGAGGCTGCGGTGGCCGGGAGCGGCCACTGCCCTCCAGTCTGGGCGACAGAGTGAGACCCCAACTCAAAAAAAACAAACTCTGATTCAAAAAAAAAAAAAGAAGAGACTTGTCCTTGGGCGTCAGAGCGTGGCTGTAAGCACTGAGCAGAGGTCTGTCGTGCCCCCTGGCCTGTTCTAAGTCTGGGGATACAGTGGTGTCAGGCAGACGAGCTTCCTGCTTGCAGAGAACTCACATTCTCAAGGGAAGCCAGATAACAATGTCATTTCCATCAGGAATGCGGGTTTCAAAACAGTGAACGGGTTCCGTGACAGGCCGAGGTGGTTTCGTGACAGGCCGAGGTGGTCAGGGAGGCCCCTCCGAGGAGGTGAATTTGAGCAGAGACCTGAGAGATGGGGAGCGGGGGAGGAGCTGGCCCTGCAGGCCAGGAAGAGTTTCCCAGACAGCAGGAACAGCACGTGCAAAGGCCCCGGGGCAGGAACGGGTTGTCTCTGCCAAGGCTCAGCAGAGAAGGGTAGGCCTGAAGTGGAGCCACTGAGGGAGACGGTGGCAGGTGGCTTGTGTGGGGCTTGATGGGATTTGAGGTCTTATCCTGAGCATTGTGGGGGCCTCTTGAGGACTTAAGCAGTGAGTACCACTGAGGATGGAGAGGGGGGAGGAGGAGGACCAAGAGGGTTTTCTCATGCAATGGCTGTGAGTGCAAAGCAACCCAGGAGGACTCCCTGATGGTGGCGGCCATCGGCCTGGGCCACTCGGTGAATGGTGGTGCCACCACCAAAATACAGAAGGAGAGGGGCATGTGTGTGGCCTAGGGTTTAGAAAAGGGGGTGACACTGAAATATGCTAAATCCATTAAAAAAATCAAATAGCTAGCAAAATAATAGTATCAACCAGCTCACTCCATTTTGTTTAAAGCTTCCATCTCAGTTGCCTGCCTGACCTAAGGACCACTCCTCAGTGCCTACGTGTGATTACTGTCACGTTCCCACGACCACAGACCCCCCCAGCTTTGTCCCCTTTGGGCAGGTCCTGCGGACCGTTTCCGGCTGGCTGTTATAAAACTCCTTCGCCATAAGTCCCATGTAACTGTATGCTTTGTTAATGTTACGCTTTGCAAAATCAAATGTTACGCTTTGCAAAACCCCATGGTTACATTTTCTTTTTCTTTTTTTTTTTTTGAGTTGGAGTCTCCCTC